TCATCTTTTTTTTTGGGTTTTAAGGGGAAGTAGTTTGAAGCTTCTACCATCACATAGCAACTGCTCAGAGTTTTACTAGTAAAGAAGGGCTATGCCCCATGACTAAATTTCCAAAACACACATATTCGAGTTTCGAATCTTCGTTTTCATGCTGTAATGAATATAGAGATGGGTGATTTAGTGTTTGGATACACCCAGGTTTTCTCTATTTAGCAAATGAAAAACATTTGTGATCTGCCATTTTGAAATTTCTATCTAAGAAAAAGAGATTTTCTCAAGCTTGCGCACACTTGAAAATTGTGGTCTCTCACTTCTTCGTGCCTTTTCTTCATTATAACTTTCATTCAGACAATACGTATCTTCCAATTCACATAGAAATGCTCTCCAAAGGTACCAAACCTGGACAAATTTTTTTTCTGCAGCATTGTAGGAACCGCAAAAGCGCGAAATAATATACTAGCCAACTTATTCCTTTTCTTATTCGTACATCTTCTAATTTTCTTGTGCAGATCGGGTGGACCAACTGATGCTCCTTCAAGTCAACAACATCTTTTCCCTATCCCAGAAATGACGCATTTGGATAGCGATAATGGAGATCGTCTTCGAGCTAAACTTTTGCATAGGTTCGAACATATCTGCTCAGGTTTCGGTAGCTCTCTCCAGTAGATTTTTATAGGTCCCACACAGCTGAGCGTGTAGCTCGCAATTGGGCTACGGTTTTTGCGCATAATTATGTCCGTGAGATCTCTTGTTTTGGAACCCCTCCTCGTGATCTGGATATCTTCCCATCTGATGGAAAGCGAAATGGTGCTGTTACGTGGATCAAAAGCTTGAAGCGGACGCGTTCTGATGATAGGATACCACAGGTTTACAGTTCTCTATTTTTTTCGTTGAATACTCAAGTTTTTTCATTATAGATTGAATGTCCTGATGCTGAAAGCATGGGCGACTCGGTCTTTGATGCACCTATGGAATCTGCTGACTCATCGAGAGGTGCAGAGATTGATAGGGGAAGCGACTCTGGTTGTTCAAGTGAACGAGCAGGAAGGAGCGCTACAAAGAAAGATATATCGAAGGTAATAAGCTCACATCTCTTTTACTTCGCTTCGCTTTTTCGTCTTTTTTTCAATCTACTTGTATTATATTGTCCCTCCTTTCTTCTTCCTCTCACAAGAGAAGTGTCAGTCACACTGGTTTTTTAGCATCAGATAGTTATCACCTAAAGCAGCTCGAAATGCTGATTCCAAAACAGCCTTTCTTAGCTGCATAACTCTTGGTCGGACGTTTTAACTTGATGGAAAAATTCACAGCTCCAAGAGTAGCCAAAATTAGCAAAGCCCTTGCATTTGTGACGTAGATGAAAAGTTCATCAATACTCGATGTGGTTCTCCTTCTTCGGCAGTGTTATGCTGTATTGGGTAACAAGCATTCAAAAGGCTTCCGTTCACAGAGTATTTTAAACGATGTAAAATGGGGTGATCAAAATGCCCATAACTTCCAACGAAGACTTGTTCCGCAGCTAAGGGCCGTTCTGGAATCAGTTTTTTGCTTTAGTTGATTTTTTGTTGTGTCAAAAGGCCCGTATTTTGACACTTCTTTCCTTAGCGAGAAAATAAATGCATATTTTTTGCATTTTTGTCTTCTTGAAGGCAGTGTCTCGGCATAATTTCGTTTTTCAGTCTCTCGCCTTTCCGG